CTGTCCTGGAACTCACTCTGTAGACCAGGCTGACCTCAAACTAATCCCAACACTTGGGAGGCAGAGGCAGGAGGACCGCTGAGTTTGAAGCTTTCTCTACAGTCCAGGACCCAGCCCATGAAATGGTGCTGCATGCGTTCAGTGGCCTTCCCACCGCTATGAAGACAATAGAGTCCCTCACAGACATGCTCACAGGCCAGCCCAATGTAGCAACCCCTCTGAGGCATGGCTGACATATAACTACCCAGCACACAGACTCCTCAGAGCCAGCCCTTTGCATGTTCAGCTATTCTAGGAGCTGGTTCTCAGTTGGGGAAAGGCTTTAAACCACAGAAACTAGTTTTTTAAAAAGTACATCAAAAATTTATTCCTCCACTTCACCTCTCACCCCAGAACTGATTTATCAACTTGCCCCTGATTCAGAATCTAACCATGCATTTTCTATATTTAGGTTCCAAAAGGGAGAAGCAATTGTGTAAGGTCACAAAGTAAACAGGAGTGGCCTTCTGACTCCTAATTTTATTGCATTCTCTGTGCCCACCATATAGAACAGCAGGAAGCTGCCTAGGAACCAGACTTAGCTCACAGCTGATAAGATTCATCACAGATGCCCCAGTTCTTGGTAGAGCTGGACCTGGCAGCTAGGCAGTTCTTATTATTACCACGTGTAAGGAAACTAGTAGGTGGTTATGAGACTCACGGCTTGCCATTCTTTCAGGTAACCACACAAGAAACAGCTATGGAGAATAGCCCAGAAGATGGGGCCTACATCAAAGGGCTTTACCTCGAAGGTGCCCGTTGGGACAGGAAAACAATGCAGATTGGAGAATCTCTCCCCAAAATCCTCTATGACCCCTTACCCATCATTTGGCTGAAGCCCGGGGATAGTGCCTCGTTCCTGCATCAGGACATTTATGTGTGTCCAGTGTATAAGACAAGTGCCCGGAGAGGGACCCTCTCGACCACCGGCCACTCTACTAACTACGTCCTGTCCATTGAACTTCCGACAGACATGCCCCAGAAACACTGGATAAACCGAGGCGTGGCCTCATTGTGCCAGCTGGATAACTGACAGCAGGGGGTCTTAAAATTGAGAGTAAACGGCATTTTATTCTCCATTACAATATAGCCTTTCTTTCTTGAGTCGTATAGTACGAAGGTGATGATGATGCAATAATTACATCAGTGGAGCCTGAAATTTCATAGCAGCCCTATAAAGCAGGTTATTATCATTATTATTGTTACCTTTTTATGGCTGCAGAAACCAGAAGATGGGTAATTCCTCCAAATCAGATATCAGATACTTACTAGATTGGAACACAGGTAGTGTGATTCTCCACCTAAACTTTTGGTCATTTGACTTAAGCTTGCTTAGAGTTGTTGTTGTTGTTATTGTTATTATTATTATTATTATTATTATTTACCTTGGGTTTGGCTGTGACTGCCACACAATTTCAGTCACTGCTTTCCCCGACTGACACACGTGCACAACCATCAAGGCCCCGTCAAAGATTTGAAAGGGCTTGAACATTTTTTTCAAGGCTCTTGGTATATTTTGTTAAGACTATTTTGTGTGGACGTGTCTGAATGTGGGTATGCACATGTGAGTTCAGGTGCCCTAGGAGGTCAGAAGAGGGCATTAGATCCCTGGAAATGGGGTGGCAAACAATTGAGAGCTGCTCTGTGAGGTGCTGAGAACGAACCCAGATCCTCTGCGGGAGCAACAAGCGCTCTTAACCACTGAGCCACTCCAGCTTCACTTGCTATATTTTAACCACACCTCCTACAACAACTTTAGGTGGTAAGGATTATCATCACTTCTACTTTAGTGGTGCTAATTAGGTTCCAGACAGTCCGTGGTAGAAGTTCAGCTACTGCTTGGTGCCAAGGATTGAGCCCATGGCCTCAATCACTCTAGGTGAGCACCCGCACGGAACTACAGTTCCTGGCTAAGCTTCAGCCGCTTTTCTATCAGTCACATGGATGGGCTAACTTCATCCTGGAGAGGTGAGAATAGCCTATTTGTTGTTTGCCTATCGTGTGCAGGTTTTGTGCCCATGCCTTTGACTAACTTGCTCACTCCTGTGCGCTGGGAATAATTGTCCCCACCACCTGGTTGCTCAGGGAAGAGGAAAGAGCCTGCCTAAGAATAACACAGCTCTTCTGCACTGCACAGCCAGGTGGGGGTTCCCTGGCTCTTGAATCCATGTCTGTTTCACTGCCACATGCTGCCTCCGTGCCAATGAGTTGGAAGACACTAGTTCCAGCCGCATGACTGTGTCCAAGGAATTTCCATCCCTAGATTCCCTCCAGAAAGAGACAAAAACATCAGATTCCTGATACTCTTCCCTGACTCTCTCGTGCAGCTTTAGGCTCTAAGTGGTTTTATTTGGGGTGTGCAGAGGGGAGCAGATGTAGGTTGTATGGTGTGGCTTTCCTGCCTCTTTGCTAGAAACAAATGCCTTGATTCAGGCCCTGTGACTTTTCCCGAATGTGGCGAGCCTCCAAGAATGAAATAAAGGTATTCCAGAAGACTCTAGTTTCAACTTCTTCATAGTGCCAAGCAAATTCTGAGATGAGCAAGCCAGCCAAGTGCCCAGAAAGAGTATGTGTATCGTAATAGAGACAGTGAGAAAGTGCACTCCTACTCAAAGTAGGTCACTAAAGGGATTTTTAAGGAAAGAAATATAATCCTTGCCAATATGTAGATAAATCAGAATGAACTGATAGCTAGGACTGTATCATTCCAAATATAATACAGTCAGTCATGTGAGACAGTAAGATGGGTAGGACCCAAACCCATAACTCTTGGGAGGGTAGCTCAGCCGTACTGCAGGCTGCAGAAGAGCTGGCACAAGGGACTGCTAAGAGAACAAATGAATCTTAATTATAGTTATCCAACTCCAACTTCATTCAGCGCCGAAAAGCCGAGAGAGGCAAGGGCTGGCTCATTCCTCAAGGGTCAAGGGACAGAATGTTTTTGCATGATGGATGATATTTTTGAAATGTAAAATATTTCCTCTACTTTGAAAACAAAGATTGCCCTAAATTTGAGGTCACTTTAGTTGCGGTCAATGTGGTAATGATGTTTCCTCCTGGGAAAGGGACAATGTCCTTCAGAAATCATGGTGAATTGGAGGCTAGAGTCTTGGGCAAAGATGTTCAGAATTCAACTCATTGAGAAGCAGTAAGCTCTGCTTATAAATAGCTAGCAGATGACATCAGGCAAACCTAGTGTATTAGTTAGGGATCTCTAGAGGAACAACACTGATAGAATAAATTAATCTCTCTCTATATATATACAATAAATCCATATCTATACATATCTGTGTGTATTTATTAGAGCAGCTTACAGGCTGTGGGTTAGCTAGCCCAACAATGACTGTCTACGAATGGAAAGTCTGAGAATCCAGTAGCTGTTCAATCCATGAGGTTGGATGGCTGTCTCGGATGGTCTTCAGTATGTGCTAGAATCCCAAAGACGTAGGTTCTAAAGCCAGCAAATCAAGAGTGAGGGCAAGCAGGCAAAGAGTAAAAGCTTCCTTCTTCCATGTCCTTCTACATAGGGATCTTCCCACCTCAAAAGGGATATCTTTCCACTTCAAATGATTTAATTAAGAAAAATCCCTCAGCTGGGTATGGTGTGGCCCATGTCTTTAATCCTAGCTCTTGGGACATAGAGCCAGGCAGATCTGAGTTCCAGGCTGGCCTGCTTTACAGAGTGAGTTCTATGACATAGAGAAACCTTGTCTCAAAAAAAAAAAAAAAAAAAAAAACAAATAAAAGAAAAAGAAAACTGCCTCACGGGTACCCAGATGCTTGGGTTTAGTTCATTCCAGACGTGGTCAAACTGACACCAGGAATGGCCCTCAGACTGATCGCCAGGCTAGTCCTTGACCTTAGGATTTTTTTAGCTATTGAGCAGTTACATTCAGTTCTGTTAGTGACAGGAAAGAATTTCATTGAAGGCGGGGACATAGGGAGGTAGTTTCTGGCTTTTGGAGACAGAATACAAGAAGTTAATGAACTTGGAGAGAAAGCGGGGGAAATGATATTGAGAGTAAGACATATAAGCTGGGCATGGTAGCTGTACCTGTAATCCTAGCATTTAAGACAGGCATGAGGACCTTGAGTTCAGTCAGGGGCAGCCTGGGCTACAAAGTGAACCTACCTCATATTCCATCCATCCATCCATCCATCTATCCACCCACCCATCCATCCAAACATGTTATATAGTTTGACAGGAAATCAATTTTTTTCAAGGTGCATCAGATGAGTCTGAGCCTTTTGTTGTTGTTTTTATTGAGCTCTACATTTTTCTCTGGTCCCCTCCCTTCCTTCCCCCTCCCCTTCTATCCTTTCCCATGATCCCCACATTCCCACTTTACTCGAGATTTTGTCTTTTTCTACTTCCCATGTAGATTAGAGAAAACTGATGTTTTATGTAATTGTATACACAACTTTGCAAAAGAAGCTAGATATAAAAAAATCACATTAAAGCTTCCTGTCATGTAAAAGATTCTCAAAGGTTGGTATAGCAATTAAGCAGTCTTCCACTGAGAAAAAGGTTGGTGGGAAGGGTAATTCCTAACGGTCAGTAGAGTAAGGCAAAATTGCACATAGTCAAAATCACTTTGTCTCCTTGAGTCACTTGGAAAGGGCACATGATGGAGACAGGCAAGTTGGGTCTCACTTGGTTCAGCACACCCAGTTTCTTCTGATGTCCCACTGGCTGATTACCACATGAAGTTGAATTGCTTGAGTTTACAGTCACTTGGAAAGGGCACATGATGGAGACAGGCAAGTTGGGTCTCACTTGGTTCAGCACACCCAGTTTCTTCTGATGTCCCACTGGCTGATTACCACATGAAGTTGAATTGCTTGAGTTTACATACCCCATCTTCATGGGAAATACTTCAACATTAAGTCATTCTCCATTGGGGCAATGCTTTTACACTGAGACTTGCTAGACGAAGAAGAAACAAAGAGATGGCAGATTGCTTTTTTCCAGTTCAAGCTAGTCTGGGCTAGGTCCTCAGAACAGCCAATATGCCCGCTGACACACTGACATTTCTTTCCTCGCCAAGGCCTATCACTGTATTTGTGTTGAATGCCTACATACTATTTATTACTTCACTGATGGACACAGTATACAATTTGTTCTCCCTGCTATTGCCAATCCCTGAAGTATGTTCCTTGAACATAAGAAGGATGCTTCTCCTCACACGAGGCACAGCCCTTCTGCTGTTTCTAAGGGTCACAAGCCCATTACAGAAAAGAACACAAAGAGGCCCAAATAAGTAGACATTTATCTTTATTAGTGAGGTCCACTCTCTGCTGGTGTGCAAACAGTGTGCTGTGAACTCCCACCCGACTCCACACATGCTCTCTGTCCTATTTCTGTCTGGATATAACTTGGAAGTCAGCTGGACCTTGTGCTTTTAAATTAGGTTAAAGTAGAACAGAAGAATGCAGGGTAAATGTCAAGGAAGCTTTTAGACCCTAACTGCATTTTAAGTAGTCACACTTAAGACGGGGTAAACAGAACTAAGGCAGGTAGTTCCAATTATCAACAGGGAGAAGGGTGCCAGACCATATTTCCATTAAAAAAAAACCACATGATCATGTAATTCCAGCACTCGAGAAGCTGAAGCAGGAAGAACAACACAAGTTCAACACCAGTATGGTCTACATAGAGAATTCTAGCCCAGCAAGTGTTACATAGAAAAACCCTGTCTCAAACACCTCCCTATAAAAAAATAAACCCAAAACAAAACAAAGTATGATCAATCCAAAGCTGCCCTTTCTAATGGGGTATATATGGAAATTACAAGAGTCAGGTGACCACAAGATGCCTATACAGAAATCACTTTTAAGCATACGAATAACTTGTGGATAAACCTCTACTAAGTATTTTGGGAGCAACAGAGTTTGGTAGCCATGTGAATCTGCAGCAACCAGTTGACCCCCTTTGATCAGTTGATGTGTGTTGAATGGTGGTCCCAGCAACTGCCTTCAGCCTTCCTCCACAAGCCTTAGACTTGCTCCCAAGGATGACTTCGGTGAAGACTTAAGGTCCATGACCTCTAGAGGCAATGTCATTGGCTTAGGCAGCAGCAAGGCCACCAAAAATCCTAGGGATGCTCACATGTCATAGGTGAGGACCAACTCTGGAGGTCTAAAGGAAGTGTTGGTTTTGCTTCCAATCAAGAAGGGCATGTTGCCTGATTTACATTCAAAACCAAGTCCCCTCACCATTCTCAAAAGCCAATTGTCCTTTCCATTAGGAAATTTCGTCGTGAGACTGCAGATACACTGGTTTGGAAAGTTTCCTCAGTTTCTCTTGGGTTTGTAGTCTCCGGCCTCGTAGTGGGGTGAGACCCATTGGAGGCAGATGAATCTGAGTGAGAATAATGACATGAAGAATCATAATTATTAGTGCAGCTTATAGTCATCGATGATTTACTGTTTCTAAGTGCTAAATCTACCACAGACTCAATGTTTATATTTCTGCATCCATTGATCTATCCTTATGATAATTTCTTACGGAATTATAATTTTTTTGAGACAGGGGTTAGCCCTGGCTGCCTGGCTGTCCTGGAACTTGCTCTGTAGACCAGGCTGGCCTTGAACTCCCAGATATCTGCTTGCCCCTGCCTCTCGAATGTTAGGATAAAAGATATGCACCACCTGTAATTCCTGGTTAGGAATTACAATTTTTATAGCTGGAAAAAAATGGAGGTTTAGAGAAATTAAATACTGACTTGTTCAGGGTTATACATTAAGTGATGGAGCTGGATCTGAAGCCACAATCTAATTTAGAGTTTATTCTCATCTATGTCATTGTGCCTGAACATAGGAAAAGAACTACAGATCCACTCAGAAAATGGGCATCCAAAAAAAAAAAAAAAAAAACCAGACGAACAAAGCTGCTTGCCTACTATGCTGTACAGTGCATGATGGGCATTGGTGCCAACTCAAATGCCCATGGAGGTAGAAAGTTGCTTACATTATGGCTGTGACAGCTAATTTTATAAGTAAATCTGATTGACCCCCAGTAAGAATCATTTCTGGGTATATGTGTGAGGGTATTTCCAGATAAGATCAGTATATGAATTCTTGGATTCAACCCACTGCCCTCTCCAATGTGGAGGGGCATCCTCTGTTCTAGTAGGGCTTGAAAAGTAAAAAGGCAAAGGATAAATTCACTTCTTTTGCTTCTTGCTCACCTTCTTTGAGCACTGAGACACCCCATCTTCCCCTGCCTCCTCCACAGACTTCTACCATCAGCCCCTTTGGTTCTTAGGCCTTCAGGCTCAGACTGACTTGTGCCACTGGCGTTCTCCTGGATCTTAAGCCTTCATAACTGTATGAGCCAATTCCTTTCAAGAAACAGTCTCTATATATCCAGACTTGTAAAGCCTGTCTGTCTATCTCTATTCACCATCTGCCCACCCACCCTCTCACCCTATTCTTCCATCCATCCATCTATCCATCCATCCACCCATCCATCTGTATGTATCTTCTGATCTCCTTCCTATTAGTTCTATTTCTCCAAGGAACCCTGACTTGTACAATGATGGCACATTCTTTTTGGTTTTTCGAGACAGGGTTTCTGTCCTGGTCCTCTTACGGACCAGGCTGTCCTCGAATTTACAGAGATTCACCTGCCTCTGCCTTTTAAGTGCTGGGATTAAAGGCATGTGCCACCACTACCTGGCTAGCACATTCTTATAATAGCACACAATACAAACAAAGATGCTCAGAAGATAGGAAATAAGTAGGTAATAAAAACAGGATACCTAGAATTCCATGTATGAAGGAATGTGTGTGCACAGGTGTGTGTCAAACTAATAATATATGCCAGGTAGTGGTAGTGTATGCCTTTAATCCCAGCACTTGGGAGGCAGAGGCAGGCAGATCTCTGTGAGTTCGAGGCCAGCCTGGTCTACAGAGCTAGTTCCAGGATAGCTAGGGCTGTTACACAGAGAAACCCTGTCTCAAAACAAAAACAAAAACAAAAAAACCTAATAATACATTATCAGATAATTGGCTTGAACTGATTAAATATCAAATCGCTGCTTTTCTTATTCATTCATTCATTCATTCATTTATTTATTTATTTATTTATTATGTATACAGTGTTCTGTCTGTGTGTATGCCTGAAGGCCAGAAGAGGGCACCAGACCCCATTACGGATGGTTGTGAGCCACCATGTGGTTGCTGGGAATTGAACTCAGGACCTTTGGAAGAGCACGCGACGCTCTTAACCACTGAGCCATCTCTCCAGCTCCAAAATCACTGCTTTTCTAAGTTGAAGAGTTGAAAACTGATTATTTAAAACTTACAGTGATCTCTTCCATGAGGTGAGAATTTTTGACAATTTTCTATAACCTTTAAATATTTTGTTAACTTTTTTTGTTTTGTTTTGTTTTGTTTTGTTTTTCGAGACAGGGTTTCTCAGTAACTATGGAGCCCATCCAGGAACTCACTCTGTAGATCAGACTGGCCTTGAACTCACAGAGATCCACCTGCCTCTGCCTCCCAAGTGCTGGGATTAAAGGCGTGCGCTACCACTGCCCAGCATTGTTTACTTTTTTAACATTTTAAAAGCTTACCTTTTATAATAAGGAAAATAAAAGTATTTCATAAAAATGAGTAAAGGCCCAAGTAAAGCTTTATAAACATGCACTGGTTTTCCCTTCCAACTAGTTGGAAGCTGCACAAGAAGAGACCAGATGTTCACTGGCATAGTGAATTATTGTGATACAAGGATAACTGACTTCCAACATGCTTTCTACAGTGGGTCTCTGCTCCTTATCAAGTATTAGCCCTCATGGTGTCCATTCTTAGAAATAACGGGATGACAAGGCTAAGTGTCCGGCACCTGTTCACTGCAACCGTACTTACTGGCCTTGGATAAGGAATCTGGTAATGCAGTCCGATCTCAATCCTGGCTGTGCACTCGTCTATACACTGCTTAATCATGTCCGGGTCCGTGAGCTATTTAAGGGAAACGTAAAATGAGGCATTTAGTATCTTCATAATAGTATATAAAATATAGTACAGATGTTCTTAAACTTTTCAGTTCACTACCCAGGAAACTCAATATTGGTAAATACAATTCTCCCCTGCTCTTATCTTCCAGTTAACCTCCTTATGTGCCCCTCCAAAGTTAGTCTATGAATATATAAACCCAAATACAGAGAATTAGTCTTTTAAAATTATTTCTCATATTATTTTGTGTGTATGGTGGGGGTGTGTATGTGCCATAGAGCACATACTATGGTGCTTGTGGAGTTGGTTTTCTCCTACCTTTCGGTGGGTTCTAGGGATGGAATTCACTTGTCAGGCCTCTGTGCTCAACAGCTTTGCCCAAATGAACTGTCTCACTGGCCCTAGGTTTCTCTTATACAGATATCTTAATCTCTAAGTTTTGCTTTTTCATTAACATAGTTCGGAGCTCTTTGGGTATTCAGACATCAAGAGCCACTCTTCCTGAAGACTATCAGAACTCCAACATAAGGCTTTATTATAATTTAACCACTTTGCTAGTGATGGGCATCCCAGCTATTTCCAGTCTTTTGCTACCATAAACAATTGCGCTATACATCTTTATGCAGTTTTTGCTCACATACCAATGTATCTAAGATGAATTCTCACAGCAAGAATGTTATGACAAAGAGACTATATAGGTTCATGCATGTTTCATTCTCACAATATTCCCAAGTTACCGTCTATAGTTGACACCAATTTATGACCCCACTAACAATCTGCAAATTTACACCCACACCAACACTGAACAAGAGAGTTACACCCTCCCAACACTGACTTTCTAAAGTAGTGGTTCTCAATCTGTGGGTTGCAACCCTCTTGGGGGCACCACATATCAGATATTTATAATAAATAATAGTAGCAAAATTATAAAGTAGCAACAAAATAATTTTATGGTTGGGGTAAGCACAACATGAGGAAAAGGGTCACAGCACTGGGAAGGTTGAGAACCACTACTCTGAAGGAACCTGGCTTTTCAGCAAAAGTAAGACACCAGAGAATGATTTAAGTGGGAAAAGCGGAGTTTTGTAATCCTAAATCAGTCAAATTGTGATAATGTACTTTCAAGTAAAAAAGCAAGATGTTTATTTGTGTGTGTGTGGGGGGGGGACACAAAAAACAAAACCCCAGAAAGCCAAATCAGGGAAGGGGAGAAACTTTCATTCAGGGGATCTAAAAAAAAAAAAAAATCAGTACACAGATCTTCTATGTTTGTGAGATTGCTTCAAGGCAGTGCCAGAATTGCATCAGCCTCAGATGACACCCAGTGTAAAGTCTGCGCCCATGTGGCTTGGAAATTCCAAGGGAGTTCTTGTCTCAGGGTGCTTGGAGTTCCAGGAACAGCTGCACAGAGAACTTAGCTGAGTCCCTTAGGGCAGAGGCTCAACTCCCTGACCTCTGTGGCCTCAGCAGCTATGCTCACACTGGGATGGATAGTTATGTTGCCATTGGTCTGCTGGGATTCAGAGCAATTAATAAGATACCTTTGGATTATTAAACTTTTAGCGCAACCAGGGTTGTTATAAACTGTTTATGTCCACAGGAGGAACTGGGCGCAGTGTGGGGGGGGGAGGGTGGAGAGAAAAGCCCTCTGACAAAGCTGTGGCTAAAGCAGCTGGGCTTCTAGAACTCCAGCTATCATCAAAAGAGCTTGGGCTAGAGTTCTTCAAGTTCAGCCGCTCACGGGCTACTGCATGATGTTGTGACATGCACACACCACCCTCTGTCCCATCCTTGGCCACTCCAGGTTGAAGCTCAAGGATGATTTTGAAATAAATGAAAACCTAGTCTAGAGTAGTCTTCAGACAGCTGTGCCTGCACAGGTTTACTGGGTACATGCCACAGTATCCCCAGCACCAGGGTAGACACATGGAGTCCTCTCTGCCTTCAGCTATCAAAGACACCATCTGAGCATAACAACTCTAATACATGACACCAAGAAAAAGGCCTGGTGGAAGCTAGGCAGGTGGCACATGCCTGTAATTTCAGCACTCAGAGGCCGAGGCAAGAGGATTTTGAGTTTAAAAACGGTGACTTCTGGATATGCCAGGCCTGTGGCACTCCTGAGCTCACTGCAGCTGTCCTTGCCTGTGTAAGACCTAAACCAGATCAAGCCAGTCAACATTCCAGCATAGAAGGGAGGGGTGCTCACAAGGCCCTGCCCCTAGCTGAGGAGCTATTGGCAGGTTTCTACCAGAATGTGAGTCAGTTCTTTTTAAGGGTGTGACCAGGGCAGGTCAGCTCTATACCTGCGAGTACTTGGGCAGCACAAAAAAGAAAAGCCATGAAGTTGAGGTGGGTAGGGTCAATCTGGGAAAAGTTAGGGGCGGACATTGTCAACATACATTGTACACGTCTGGAAATTTTAAAGGTTGGGTGTGGCGGTGCACACACCTTTAACCACGGCACTGAGAGAAGAGGCTAATTGGATCTCTTTGAGTCGCAGGGCCGTTGTGGCTACATAGAGAGTCTATATATGATTTAATAAAAATATATTAAAACACTAAAAACAAAACAATAAAGCATGGAAGCTTCGGGTCTTCCTAGAAGAAAAGGTGCTTTATATTATGAGTGCTTCTTTGGTAGTGCTTGTCTTCATTTTAATTCCACTCTTTTCATCTAACTGAAATCTCTCTGAGGGACCTTATTTTGATTATTAATATTTTTATATATCCCAAATGTCTAATCTAGTGTTTGGCACTTGGTGGGATACTTGAATGAGGACTAAGAGCAAAGGGTTTCAGAGGGGCAGCAGGTGGAAGAGAAAGGTAAGGGGAGGTAGGAGGCAGGGCTTGTAAGTGGATCACTAGGCTCAGGTGAGCTCCTTTAGGTGGGTGGTCAGAAACGAAGCCTGGGCCAGGCCTGGTGGCGCAAGCCTTTAATCCCAGCACTAGAAGGCAGAGGGGAATCTCTTTGAGTTTAAGGACAGCCCCGGCTACATAATGAGTTCCAGGACATCCAGTGCTAATCAGACCCTGTTTCAAAAAAACAAAAACAAAACACACACACACAAAAGAAAGAAAGAAAGAAAAGAAGGAAAGAAAGAAGAGAAAGAAAAGGAAAAAAAAGAAAGAAAAGGAAATAGCCAAGTCCAGGAATTCAAAAGTGGCTTCAGCACAGAGGCGGCCCTTTCGTTGGCAGGCAAGTGGCAGGAGGTGGTGTGGAGAAAACACAACCAGAAAGACAGAGGATACAGGAGAGAAAGGCCGCAAGACTAGATTGTTTGGAAGGCATCAAGCAGAAGCGGGCAAAGAGGAGCCAGGTACTTACCTTCCATTCTTAGTGCTAGGCAGTTTTCCCAAGGGGATAGCAGCCAGTGCTGGATGGTTTGTCAGGATGAATCCTAACCAGCTGGCTGGTGTCTGGGTATTTGGTTGTGTTAAGTAGGTAGTAGAAGCCCTATTTCTGTGGTACCACTCTGTTGTCCACAAAGAGTTCATAGCTAAGTTACGGAAGGAGCCCATGTCTTTTTCCATATTATAAATGGGTTTATAATCAGAAGGCTTTGATTGGTTTATAAATTGGGAAAAAAGCATTTTACTGCAAACCACCCCTGGGAGTGGCTGGCCATCGGTATGTGAGGAACAGCTTTCACTGGCATGACTTCTGTCACCTGGCTCACAGGGTTTTCAGAGGATGCTAAGCCATTTACCGGCTGAACTGGCAAGCCCACCCAAGCTATAGACTGGAACCTGCCCAGCTCCGAGAGTTGGCTGGGTCTTCTTCAGTTAAGGCAGGAAAGAAATGAACAAATACTAAAAGAAGGGTCTCTACTCTTACCATCTCCAGATGGGGCCTACTTACATTTTTGTTTTTCTGGAACAGTGTTCTGGCTTCATTTAGTATGTACTGTTTTTCTTTGATGGTGTCTTCCATCTGCCCTGATGCTGCCTGCCATTTCCGTGCAAGCCTGAAAATGCTTCGGTAGAGGCCCAGGACTTCTTGTCGTGTTGCTGTTGTCATCTTCAGACCCACCAGAAGAGGAGGAGGAAAATCTACATACAAGCGCAGTTTGATAGTGGGCAGCCAGGCAGATGTACAGTTTTTTGAATGAAGATTTTTTAATTAGTCTAGATATAATTGTTCCTTCTTAACAGGTCTGTGGGTAGCATTACCAAAATGACGTAGTAGAAACATCAATCTCTTTTGCTCTCTCCTCCCATCTTTCTGATTTTTGAAACAGAGTTGCACAAGCTAGCCCTGTTTGGCCTGGAATGTTACATATAACCCAGAGTGGCTTCAAACCATCCTGCCTCAGCCGTCCCGATCCCAGGATTATAGACCTGTCTCCGCAGTTGAAGCTTGCCTAATTGGCTGTTTTGCTATGAGCCCACTTTTACAAACACAGCAAGACCAAATTTACATTTATTATTTTTTAAAACCAGACTGACCAGAATACCGCAGAAATAATGATTTTAGTTTCTGTTCTGGTAAATTTACGTGTCTAGAAGGCAGATTTTAAGTGTGTTTTGTTGAGACAGGGTCTCACTATGTGGCCTAGCCGGCCTAGAACTTGCTTGTTTGTAGAGATGGAGTCTAGATTTTAACCCCGGATCCTCCCTTCTCCACCATCAATTAAAGATAGTATTTGTTACTCATCTCTGAGCAGCAGCCACCTAGAAAGGAGGGCCTAGAGCTGCCAGTTTTCCTGAGCAGGGAGCAGGACCAGGCCTGGAAGCGTGGGCCTGTAATCTCAGCACTCAGAGGCTGAGGAAGATCATGAGTTCCAGCTAGCTTGGGATACATCTTTAAAAATAGTGGCATTTTGATGGGCAGTGATGGCACATGACTTTAATCTCAGCACTTGGGAGGCAGAGGCAGGCAGATCTCTGTGAGTTCGAGGCCAACCTGGTGTACAAGAGCTAGTTCTGGGACAGGCTCCGAAGCTACAGAGGAAAAGTGGCATTTTATAACATGAAATCCTAAAATGACAGTTATCATTTTAAGACTTGGCTACCAAATAAGTCAAACAGGGTCAGTCTCAAGTCTCAGCTTTGCCCAGAGGCTGTACATCAGCAATTTCTCTTAGTTTGGAAAACATTTCTCAACACTACCTTCTTGACCAATAAGAACTATACAACTGAAGATTTTTCTTATGGCTGAAGATCTTCTGACCACTCTGCCTTTTTCTATGAACACCAATTTTAGTTCCAGTGGGTGTGGCCAAATGAGAACTGACCTAAGCATACACCTTCTGTAAATTCTTGCTACTTTTATTTTTATGAAGTATTTTTGAGACAAAAAGACAGAATAATGTGATAGCTACATACAATAAGCCATGAAGAACAAATTATGGAGACACTTAATGCCCCCTCCACCTTGGACCCCTGCTAAATAATCAATTCTCTCTCCTTCCTTCCCTTTTCTTTCTTTCTTTCTTTCTTCTTCTTTTTTTTTTTTTTTTTTTTTTTTTTTTGAGACAGGCTCTCACTATGTAAACCAGGCTGGCTTTGATCATAGAAAGTTGCCTCTTTCTGCCCAGGGTGCTAAGATTAAAGAGTGTATTACCATGCCATGTGCAGCGGCCCTCTTTTCTTCTCTTGGTGAAAACACTAGTCTGACTGCTGCTTACCATTGTCATGAATCCTTTATATTTATTATACAAGAGGTTTTTTTTTACAAGTTTAGAACTTCATATAATAGGTTCTTCAAATTGTGTGGTTTTTGTTTTTGTTTCCTATTGAACTTGCAAGACTCATCCACATTGCCACACTGAGCATCATTGCTGCAAGTCACTCCACTCTACAAAAATTCCTGATGCACTTGTCTATTCTGTTAATGGGCAGTTTTGTTGTTGGTTTTTTTTTTTTTTTTTTTTTTTTGAGACAGGCTGGCCTCAAACTCTGAGATTCACCTGCCTCTGCCTCTCAAAGGCTGGTATTAACAGCATGTGCCATTACCACCTGGCTTGATTTTTATAACTTATGTAAAACTTCAGCCTATTTCTTTCTTTATGCTTCTATCTGTAAAAATTGAGTGAGAAATATCAAAAAAAAAAAAAAAAGACGAGTCCTTGGAGTTCTTCGTCTGATTGAGAATCATGACTACTATGTTGTCTTAGACACGAGGGAGGACAGGCTGGGAAGACAGGTCTGGGCGTAAGCAGCAGAGCCAGGTACTTGAACACATCCACGAGTCCAGAGATTTTTTTTTTTTTTTCAAACAGGCTTATCAGGATTGGGGAGGAGGCTGAGGGCTGCCACTTAGGCACATAATCCATTTCCAACTCCCTACCGGGGCTGAAATACAATAGGATGGTCCTTAGCTCTTAAGAATCTCAGCGGCTATAGGCTGCTGGGAGCAGGATTGGGTATGTGTATCTACACATTCCAAGCACCTTCAAGGAAAGCACCTTACAGAGATTTCTTCCTTGAAGATGACTGCCCCTCCTTTTGTACTGGACCCTGGTGACTTTTCTTGAGCAACAAGGAGTGAACCAAGGCTTAACCAGTTGATGAAAAGCTTGAAAACACCACTTCTCCCAACCCAAAAGTTTAAAGAACCAAAGTTACGCACAACACTATCAATGACGCTTCACGGAAAAAAGGCTTAAAAGGAATTCATAAAAACCAGTGAGAACATCGTGGGGTAATAAAAACCCAGATGAGATGATGACATTTTTCCTGGTAGGGAAGCAGGTTTCTGAGTTTCTGGCTCTCCCGAAAACTCCATGGTTTCATCTGAAAATACGTGAGTCAGTTCCTGTGAGGGGCAGTAGCACAAACTAACTATGGCTTTACTTCCCTGTCACTAACAGATGAAACTTCCCTGACTTTCAGACGCTGGCAGAGGAAATCGAAGGTCAAACGTATTAAAACCCTAGCAAATTTCTCAAAGCCTGACTTTAATTGGTTTTCTTTTACTACTCTAGAACTCTGATCGTAAGCCATAACATGACACACAAGACCTGCAATTAGGTTGCTCAGGGTAAGGAGTGCTAACAACTGACACTTAATAAGACTATTTTGAAAATACTTTAATTAGTGTGTGTTTTGTAAAAACGAATCCGGAAAGATAGGTAGGTGATCAGTCTCTAATATCAGGTGACCCAGAAAACCCAAGTCACAAAAACTGCCAGAGAGAAAAGTCAAAAGCTGTCTTTACTACTGAATATGTGAACAGGTCTAGCCTATCACTTCTAAGCCTTGGAAGGGAAATCAAAAAAAGAGAATAATGCATCTTTTGTCATTTTGTTACTGGGTTTCTATCAGTTCTTTGCAGGGACAACTATGATCCTCTTGACTTTGGGGGCATACCCATGTTGCTCCTTCTTCACTAACTTTTCTTTTTTAAATAAAGACAAGGTCTCACTATACAGCCTTAGTGAGAAAATACCAAGAAAAATACCCTAGGTAAACCAGGCTGCCATGTGACTCAGAGTTCTACCTACCTCTGCTTCCTACATGCTGAGCTTAAACAGGTGTCACAACGCCTGACCTGATTTTTTTTTTTTTTACTTGATCAATTTCTGTTCATCCTTTAGCTCCTCATGGAAACATGGATGTCTCAGAAAATCCTTCATGCTCCCTGGTCTCTCCTGAGCCACACACACTGGGTTAGGAATGATCAGAATCCTGACAGTTGTTCTTTCTAGGCCTCATCACTCAAGTTCTGGTTTGTTAATGTCTATTTTCCTCCAGTGGACTCTAATCTTTATGGGGACAGTTATTACAACTATCTTTTATTTACTGCCAAATCCTCTGTACCTAGGAAGCTTCCATACTAGAACTTCAACAAATGTTTACTGAAAGCACGAAATATTTCATGCTACAGAAAGCTTTAGATTCTCAAACTGAGTCAGTTACATTTTAAAAAAATTAAAGTGCTTTCTTTTGGGTTTTTTCTCTTTGTTCTTAGAAAGCAATGCACTTATACAGGTTGCCATGGTTGCCACTTCCTGAAGGTTTCCTTACCCAAGGACTTAACGGCTTGGGACCAACAACCTTCTCAGGATTAATACAATACAACAGCCTTTATCCTTACTTACTGGTTGGTCAAGAGTTGATTGGCTACAGTAGTGAATTCTGCGGGGATTCCCCTTAAGGACTATTTGGTTTAGAAGTCAGAACTTTAAATGGTCAGGAAGTCTAGTCTTAAGGAATTTCTTTAAGTTCTATGACATTTATTCTTGACACTACTTGAAATATTTGCTCCTTTTCATCTCTTTAACTTCCAAATCCCAGGATGGAAGAGGAACAAAAGTGTATGTGATGGAGTAGTTGTGACTTGGAAGGTGGCTTCTTTTGTAAAAGTCATACTGCCTGCGCACGCAGAGCATGGCGATGAAATGCATTACTGAGTGCATATTCTATACAAGTCTGACACATTTTCAGAAGGCCCTAGTGCACATATCTCAAAATATGATTGTACAGGTGATTTTAGATACATAATAAATTTATTAGTTGTCATTAATATATACTGGAATGACCCATCACACCCATGAAAAAGATTTTTTTGTGTTATTTAGGTAGGCTATGAATAAATGTATTCAGAAAAATCCAAACCAGAGTACTGTATGCATACCTGTAATTCAGAAGCTGAAGCAGGAGGACTGCCCTAAGTCTCGGGCCAATCTGTGCTACAGTGTGAGTACCAGGTCAGTCAAAGGGACATAGTTAAGCTTGTCTTGGCTCACCCTTCCACTCAAATGCCTCTTTCCTGCTAATTATCGCTCCTCACAAGAGGTACCTATTCACTACCAACTATTCCCAGAGCACTCTCTCCCTAGGGCCTAGCATAAGCCACCACTGATTGCTCTTCTGCAGTTATTTTGCGTCTTTTTTGTCCTAGATTTTTCTGCTAACTCCCGGAGAGCAGGAACTTTGTCTTGTTCATTACAGTAACAATAGCTACATTTGCTTTGCATTTACCCGGCTTCCCACTCTACAAGGTGCTTTCCACCTTGATGTTCACTCTGTGAACATCATAGCAATTCTGGAGGCAGCTGATACTTCTCAGTCTACAAAGGAAGACCCTGATATAAAGAGAGATTAAG